CATATTTGTCATATTAACTTTCATTATTATATTCAATTCAGTATTTTATTAAATTCTTATTTATTAATTTTAATCTTTCAATTTATCAATTTTTCATTGTGTTGATTATATTATTTAAAATAACTTAATATCAAATATTATTTTTAATTAAATTAATAAAATGTTAATTTGTTTTCTTTTTATTTGTTTTAATTTGATTCTGTAATGATTTGATTGTTATTTTATCATTACAATTATTTATTCTTATTTAGATTGTATTATATGAATTTGGATTATTTGTTTATAAAATGTACATTTTAATGAATAATTTCATTTAATATTGTTATTATTGTTATTCTATCATAAATGAATTTTAAATTATTTAGTTATCATATTTGAAAAATGATATTTTTTATTTATTTTAATAAGTGGTGAATTATCATTTATACTTCCAATATTTCAAATTATTATTTTGTTAATATGATATATTTTCTTTTAAAATGATTATAGAATTTATCATTGTACATTTATTAAAGTGATGAAATATTCATTTAATTCTAATCAGTTTTGATAAATATTTAAATATAGATAAAAATGAAGAATAAATGTAATTACATTATTTTATCAATATTCTAATATTTATTATAATTATGTTATTATTACAAAATGAATATTCTTTTTGAATATTATGTATTTTTAATAAATAATTATGACATCACATCTTCTTTCATTTCTATTCATATTTTATTTAATTATAGTATTGTAAATATCATTTATATAATATTAAAGATTGTTTAATTTTAAATCACTTATGTGAATATTTCATTTTCATTTTCATTTATTATGATAATTCAAATGATACAATACTTTATTATCATATAATTTACACATCAAACAAATTTATCATTACCATTTTGAATATTATAATCCCTCTTTGAAATAACATTTAACTTTTTTCATAAACAGTCCAAGATAAATATGAATGAGAAATATACTATATAAATTAAAACATATGATGTAAATTATTATTAACAATATGATAAAAAGAATAAATTTATTTATTAAATCTAATACTGATAATATAAATTATGTTATTTTATTCTTCATTTCAATAAATAAATAAGAATGATAAAAACATATCTTTACAATGAAATGAATTTTAATATATTTAAATTGAATATAAATATATAACATCAACGAATTAATAAATAAAGAGGAAACTAATAACATACTAAGTATTCTTTAATCAATCAAATTTTACATTAACCTTTTTGCTACGATAATTTTAAAAGACAAATTGTTGACAATGGCATCATTCATACATATTACGAAACTAATGTATTGACTCAGATATGAAATAACCAATTTATGATAAACACTACATTAATTGAGCTAAACAAATATACCATAAACCAAAACTAATAAATTCAATGATATTGATAATTAAATAAGATTTCATTCAGATAATAGTATTTGTTTTATGTAATTGAAATGATGTATATACCAAAACAAATACCAATTTGAATTATCACGATTATATTAACTTATATCATAATTATGTATATTTGTGATATTGGTTGATGTCTTTTCTCTTGTTTTCATCATTTGTTATATTCAAAAATCATAAACATTCATGTTTTGTTTAATGAAAGTAAAAACATTAAAAGAATTCTTTATACTTTAATTTTGAACATTCATATTCTCTTTATCATCACATTGAATCATTCTAGTATTCTGTTCTGAAAATAACTTATTTTCTTAACAAAACCATCCTTTATCTTCATAATTCAATTGAATTAATTTATATAAATAATCAAGTATTATTTGTTCTCTTTATAAAGAAATACAACTCAAATAAATTCTGTTTAATATTGTTCATTCTTACATACACATTATCAACAATGAAACAAACTAGTTACAAATGATTTCAACTCATTTACTCATTAGAATAATTGTTTTTCATTGTTTTTGAATGAAAAAACACTAAAATGTTGTTTACTCAATACAATAGTTAAATCAATGACAAATATAGATAGAAAATAAATGAATGTACATAACAAATTCAATTAGAATAATTCATGAAAAACTCAAATAACCATTTCATCTCATCAGAATTCAATGGACAATCATCTGTTTGAACATTAGGTGTTGAATAAAAGAGTTGTAATGAATGTAGTAATTTATTTGCTAAAACAACTCCTTCAGTTCCTTCAAATATTCGTTCATGTTTTCTTGTGATTTCCCAAACAAATTCTAAAGCAACAAACTCTTTCTGAAGATTATCTCCAACAATGAAAATATTAACAATGCATGGAATCATTTTTTTAATATTTTCTTCAGTAATTTGATCAAACACTTCTTCACTATCAATACTCATCAATACCTCTTCTAATTTAAGTAAATCATTGACATTAGTTGATATAATATAATTTAATCTAGATTTCTTTTGATTAGGAATATCTTCTATTTCAAGTCTTTTTGTTGGTGTTTTTGATATTTCTTTAGTTCTTTTAAGTAAATTA